ATTCACGGCGTTGAAGTCCGAGGAACGGTTTTCTGGCACGATTCAGGATCGTCAAGACACAACAGTAACGGTGATTTGCGGCGTTGAAACCCGGGAATGGTGTTCTGGCACAGCTCCAGATGTTTTAACAGTTTACACTGGTCCTCCTCCTCCTCCTCCTTCTCCTCGCTGCTCTCAGCACTTGAAGCCGCATGGCAGCAAACATGGCATGGACAAATATTGGGATAGGGCACAGCGGAAGCGAAATTGCCAGGCACAGAGGCGAGAGGGGCATGGCGGGCCTGCGCGGAGGTATCGCCAAGTCTCTGAAGGACCTCAACTTCGGCGCCATGCCTGTCAGGCAGTGCGCAGTGGCCCGAATTACATGTCAGGGCCCCTTTCCAAAACGCACTGCGGGAAATCTAAGTCTTCATACTCAAAGAACGAGCATGCGAAACCTAGTGCGTTGCAAGCACAAAGATCAAACCTGGATGCACCGTCAGCTTCCCACACTCGGTAAGACCCATGACATGTGCACAAACGCTGCGAAAAGTGTATTGCAGCGGTCCCTGCATGCCAATACATAGACCACCACAGGGACGCTCGCCGGCTAGCAGCGGGTTCTCGCGAGCGAAGACTCTGAGTTCAGGCGGGGGGGTGGGGGGGGCAACTGGAAAGACCCGATGGCCCCCATGAGAAGGCGACTGGAAGATAGGGAGGCAAAGGTGGGCGACTAGAAGGACGGGACAAGGCACTCCTTAAAAGGAAGGCGGCTGGACAACAAAAGCTGGCTTCAGGAAGACGCTGGAAGGAAAGAAGTGAAGCCAAGGTGGACGACCCGCGGGAAGAGAGCGGGTGATCCTCAGAAGCTGGGCGACCAGACACATCCCTGCAAGACAAGCCTTGAGTATGACATCGATGTCGGGGTTGTCTGGGTTTGCTTTGAACTACACAGCAGCAAGGAGAATACCCGAGGCACTAAAATCGTTTCAAATGCGGCGCACACCTACAGCTCAGAATGATGATTTCCAACGCACACGTCGTTGTCAACGCAATGCTAATGCTGTCTCTGACGGGATCAAAGCGATCCGTTACTTTGCGCTGCCCCGTCACCATGCCGAAGACTGGTAATGCCAACACTGTCGTACGGTCTAAAGCACCCCCCTCCTCCGTGTGCCTGATGCGTGCGTGGGTGAGAAAGAGAAGATCGAGGCGGGAATTGGGTGCCACGCGGGTGTGACGCGGGTGCGAAGAAAACCAGAACCCCACTTCGCATGTCGGGAAATACATCGAAAGCCAAATATAATCGACCCTTCGTGATACAAGAAGATTCTCAGACCCTGGCCCACTTTGCCAGCACACTCCTTCATCAGACACCATCACTACACGAGGAGGCAGGAGGCAGCAGCGGCGAGGGCGCACGCCTGAGGTGCGCTGCCAGGGCGGCTTCCTGTCGGGAGACCCGAGGCAGGGGACCACAAGGGGGAAAACAAAACTAGGAAGGCACCAACCAGCTTTACACATACAACGACCCTGGCCACGCCCGTCCTGGGACCCAGGATCGGCGCATACCCCCGCCTCGCTCGGCCACAGTGGCAGATGAACCGATCATGGGTCCAGTATGAGCCTGGGCAAGGTCGGTGTAGATGCCGCTGTCGCCCGAAAGGCAAAGCCACGACGGCTCCAGGCTGGGCAAGAAGGGAGTCGGCTTTGCACAATCTCAAGTTATGTTAAGCTAATTTGGCGTGAGCTTCCAACTTCTCTGCCCCCGTTAGCTCGTCGAGTCCCTCGTGGCCCCCTGTACTACGTATGCACTTCCACTGTGGAGTGATAGGTGACGGCCCAGGAAATCAACGTCTCGAGACAAAAACTCAGCACCAGGTATCACCGTCTTGTGCCCTTGGAAGAGAGATACAAAGAAGGAGGATGACAGAGAGAAACTACCTCCCACCGGCTGCCTCCAAACGCCCCAGGACTGGATCCTAGCGGCCCCAAGAAGACACAAGATGTGCCGGACCACTGCAGTCAGCTCTTCACCCCCCATAGACGGCCACCAGATCCCTCCCGAGGCCAGGAGACGCCCTCTGATGACACCACGTGCCCCTACCATACGGCCCAACGACGTCACACAAGACGCCAACAGGCTGCCAAAAGGCACCCTGGACGCTCGGAATCCCAATCGGAAGGCAGCGCTGGTTTGTAGTATATTCCGAACAGAAAATAAACCAAGCATGCCCAGGCACATGCCCCACCCAGCAAAGACGTTTGGCAGGACCATGGCGTGGGTCTACGTAGAACGCCGGTCCGCTGGACCCACAGGAACGCAGGAATGCGGCGGCAGTTGGTCGCATGGCAGCGCCCGAGGAGGCGAGGCCTCATTTGGATCCACGTCGGGCCACATTCCGCTGGACCCTCCAGTGACGCAGGTACGCGTCAACAGTTGCACGCCTGGCAGCATTCAGGGAGGCGAGGTCTAGTTTGTACCTTCTCGGGACCGCACTCCGCTGGACCCCCCGGGGGCGCACCGATATAGCGAGACTTGCACGCTTGGCGTTCCCCTGGGGCGCGACGCCCAGTTGTTGGGTTCGCGTAGGGCGCTGGTTCGCTGACCCCCCAGCGGCACAGGACAGTGGCGACACTTACACGGCTGGCGGCACCCTTGACTGCGAGGTCTGGTTTCGGTCTGCGTCGGGCGCCAGTCCGCTGTACCATCCGGGGTCGCAAAAAAGGGGGCGCGACCTTTGCACGTTGGCAGCGCCCAGGGAGGCGAGGTCTCGCGTGGGTCCGCGTGGAGCGCTACTTCGCCCGCCCCCCCAGCGCAGGACAGTGGCGAGACAGCTGCACGCTGCGTCTCGCGAGCCCAAGGAAAGGCGCCAGTCACTCGGGAGCGGCCGAGGGTAGCAGGCGAACGCAGAAGAACTGAAGAAGGTAGCAGAGACGAGAACATACAAAGAGAGAGGAAACGAGAGCACAGCCAATCGAAGAGAGGAGAGGAGGACAAAGGAAGCGGGAGACGCGAAGAGGAAGGGAGAGGGGAGGAACCAGGATGGGAGAGAAGGCGTAAAGGAAGGAGACGAGGTCAGCAGCAAGAGGTTCTATCCGAAACAAAACCCCAATGACAAGGATGGCTGTGAGAAAAAGTAATTTCCTCCCTGCAGAACCCAAGCGTGCCTCCAAGGGGCCTCTGGACGATCTCCAGGCCACCCCAAACGGCTCTCGCGGTACAGAAAGCGCTCTGAAGGGCCACGAAACCGCCGCAAGACGATACCAGACACCCGAAGACAGCCACAAGCGCGCTCAAGACAGCCCCACGACCGCTTCAAGACGGACTGGCACTGTCAACATTCACATTGCTTGTACACATGGAGGCGCACGCACATGGCAAGCGAATACTGCAATGCACAAGTGCAGCTGTCTTTGTCCGATTTCCCTGATGCTCCTGAGCGTCGTCGCTACCGCACGCAACCCTCGACAGAGACACCCCGTCGATAACGGTGAGCACGTCGCCCACCTGTGAGGAAGGCCACCACTGTGCAGACCACTACCGCGGTCGCTGCACTTGACCAAAAGCTTGCCACTACATCCAACAATGCCTCCCTCGTCCATTCATCCAGCGCCATCTTTCATGACATGATGACCATGACCTCGTCATCCGCTGCTATTTTCGATACTTCGCACTACTGCGACATAAGAAATTGAAGGCATCACACCGGTATTCCTATGCATCTGATCAAGACCAGGAGCTTGCAAGCGCTGGAGTCATGTGGCATTGATTATGTTGGGATGCGCTCTTAAGTTTGACAAGTTCTAGCGAGTTTACGACAAGCCGTCCACAACCCCGTCCGAAGAGTCCTCAAAGAACCTTATTGCCAGCGATCGCGCGGGCAGGTAGACGGCTCTGGAGAAAAACTGACAGAAAATTGGCCAGAAAGGCGCCGGAGTTTCATGTTACGACTAAGTGCATGCTTAAGTGTCCGTGTGATATGGCTTGCCACTATTGCGGCAACGTGTTTCAAGAACCTCTGCTGCAGGGCGCAGCAAGCAGAACTCATCAAATTAGATGTACAAGAGAGAGAGAGAGAGACCGATGCAGGATGCGAACAGCAATTCCACGGAGGGAGAGGGAGCGATTCCAAGGCCTGACGTATGCGGATCGCAGGATCGAATGTCCCACGGGGTGCGATCTTTGAATTGGCAATCTCTAACCTTCTCCATTTTGGCGGGGAGCCGCGCATACGAACCAGAATGATCATGTCTCGCACAACCATGATGCTCTTGTATACAAGAACGGCAATGCGTCTAAAGGATCGACGCAGCGCAGGGCGCAGCAAGCAGACGTCTCGCATGAGACAAATGCAGGGTCATATCAAACTCCTTAACTCTCCGATTCAATGTCGCCGTCGGCTCCGTCAAAATTTCCCTTTGGGAAGCCAGCAGTGCCAAATCCACTTGTGCAACAGAGCAGATCAGCCACGCATGGCACCGCTTCTACCTCGCGGCCCCACGGCCCGACAGCGGCTGCGCGCTGTGCCCGTGCATCAAGATGGCATCGACTCGACCCTCGCGCAGGGCCGACACGGCCATCAAGGTTGAGCCGCGCCACCTGCCGCCTCGGCCACAGCACGCCGTTTCTTCCTTCGTCCCCTTCGGGGAGGGGTTTATCACTATTCCCTATTAATATACACCCCTACCCCCAGGCAGCTGGAGCCAATCCGAGACAATGAAGGCCCCCCCACCATCCCTTGTAAAAAACAATACACAACACAGTCTGCCTTAAAATTCGGAGCATGCGCAGCGAACCCGATGCGGCCTCCCCCCACCATCCCTGTCAAAAAACCATATAGAATACACTTGGCGGCGGCGGCGGCGGCTGCGGCGGCTGCGGCGGGGCTGCGGCGGTGGCGGCGGCGGTGGCGGCGGGGGCGGAGGCGGCGGCGGCGGCGGCGGCGGCTGCGGCGGCGGCGGCGGCGGCGCGGCGGCGGCAGCAGCGGCAGCGGCTGCGGCGGCAGCGGGCGGCGGCGGCGGCGATTCGGCAGCGGGGGCGGCTGCGGCGGCGGCGGCGGCGGCGGCGGCTGCGGCGACGGGCGACGGCGGCGGAGGCGGCGGCGGCGGCGGCGGACTCGCCCACAGTAGCTGGCCATCCAAAGACGACTGCTGCATATGCTGCGGCTCGGGCCAAGCTCGGGTGCTAAGTATGTGTTGGGAAGGCGGGTGGGAGTGAGCGCGACGGCTTGCGGGCGGGGGGGGTCTTGATCACTGTTCCCTATTAATAGACACCCCCTCCCCCAGGCGACTGGGGCCAACCCAGGTCCATGCGGTCACCCCCCCACCACCCCGTGTAAAAAAACAATACAAGCACACACTCTGCCCCCACCATCCTTTGTACAAAACAGTACAAACACACTCTCTCCAAATTCGGAGCATGCGCAGCGAACCCGATGCGGCCTCCCCTCATCATCCCTGTCAGAAAACTATACACTTGGCGGCGGCGGCGGCGGCGGCGGCGGCGGCGGCTGCGGCGGCTGCGGCGGGCTGCGGCGGCGGCGGGGGGGCGGCGGCGGCGGGAGCGGCGGCGGCGGCGGCGGCGGCAGCGGCGGCGGTGGCGGCGGCGGCGGCGGCGGCGCGGTGGCGGCAGCGACTGCGGCGGCAGCGGCTGCGGCGGCAGCGATTTGGCAGCGGGGGCGGCGGTGGCGGCGGGCGGCGCGGTGGCGGCGGCAGCGGCGGACAGCGGCGGCGGCTGCGGCGGCGCGGCGCAGGCGGCGGCGGCGGCGGGCGGCGGCGGCGGCGGCGGCGGAGGCGGCGGCGGCGGCGGCGGATTGGCCCCCAGTAGCTGGCCATCCAAAGACGACTGCTGCATATGCTGCGGCTCGGGCCAGGCTTGGGTGCTACGTATGTGTTGGGAGGGCGGGTGGGAGTGAGCGAGACGGCTTCTGGGCGGGGGGGGGATGTCTTGACCCCTCCCCCATACCCCCTACCCTGGACCTGGACGGGGGGGTTCGCGACGCGTTGGAGCGTCCAAAACGGCCTCGGCGAGGAAGCCAAAATCAATGGTTTTACAATGGTTTTGGCCCCATTTGGGCATCCGAAGGGGGGAAGGCTGATTTAGCCCCCCCCTCCTGTGATCGATCTCCTCCAAGATGGCCCCAAGAGGCGCCTAGGAGGCCCGAAGAGGCCCCGATATTGCCCCAAGATGGCCCCATGTGGCCCCAAGAAGCCCCCAAGAGGCCCCCAGGATGCCCCCAAGAGGCTCCCAAGAGACCCCCAAGAGGCCCCAAGAGGCCACCCAGAGGCACCCAAGACGCCCCAAGAGGCCTCGGCGAGAATGCCAAAATCATTGATTTTACGTAAGTTTCGGCCACATGTTGGCCTCCTGGGGGGGGCACTGCTTCAGATGACTCCGAGAGCGCCTGGGAGAGCCCAAGATGACCTCCAAGATGGCTCAAGATATCCCAAGATGCCTCAAGATGCCTCCCACGATGTTCCAGGAGGCCCCAAGACCGCTCCAAGACGGCTACAAGTGGCCAAAGAGCTCCCCCAGGAGGCCCTGAAGAGGCCAAAATCCTTCCAAAACCTTCGGAAATTCTATGTTTTTGGCTACCTCGCCTTTTCGCTTCCGATGGCCATCCGAGGCTTCAAGATGGCTCCAAGAAGGCCCAAGACGGCTCCAAGAGCGCCCCAAAGGATCCCAAGAGCGCTTCAAGAGGGCCCCCAGAGGCGCCCGGGAGGCTCAGGAGGCCCCAACAGGCGCCCAATAGGCCTCCAATAGGCTCCCAAGAGACCCCCAAGAGGCCCCAAGCAGCTCTCCGAGGCACCCAAGACGCTCTAAGAGGCGTCCGGGACCGCCAAGAGGCCCCCAAGACACTCCAAGAGGCCTCCACTGGGGGACCCTTCCTCTGCGTGCTGCCCACTTCCCTGATCGAGGCAATTCCTCTGGGCATCGTTTCTGGATGGGCTGGTGGGGTTACGCGAGGCGTCTAGAATTAGCGCGGCGCGACCCTGCTGCCAACCTCACCGGCGCTTCACCTGCGGGAGGCTCCGCGCCCTGGTGGCCCAGTCGATCGATGCCCCCAAAGGCCGCGCCCAGCACGGCGCGCGTTCGACCGGGACCAGACAGGCGGCCCAGCTCCTCCAACCGCCGCGCGCGCCGCGGGCACGCAAAGCCCCGCGCCGACTCGGCGACGGGGCCGCCCTTCAGTCAGGCCAGCGCCTGGCCGACCCACGGCTGCACGCACTTGCTGTCGAGCGCCAGCGACAAGTCGAGCTCGCCAACCCTCTAGGGCGCCCCCATCTCCTCCTGGTTGCTCAGGCGGCTCCAATGCTCGCTGTCAGCCCCACGATGCGACCCAGCCTCAATGCCAGCAGCTGGCCCGGGGCGCGGTGGGTAGACACGCTCGGCAGCGCGCATAACGCCATCTGTCGAAAGCCCCCCCTCCACGAAGCCGCTGGCCATGGCTCGCTGGCTCGGGCCGTCGCGACCGCGAGGGGCAGACCCTCCTCCAGCCCCAGGTCGCCAGGAGCGGGGCAGCCAGTGCACTGGGCGGCCACCACCTCCATGCCCTTCCCCAGCTCTGCCCCGCCGAGGGCAACCATATCGAAATACTCCGCGAGCGCTGAGTCGAGGTCGGCGGCGTCGAGCGCGGCCATCTGCTCGACGCTCAGCCCGCTCAACAGCAGGAAGAACTTCATTCTGGTTCTTGGCCGCCGCGCGGTCACCGACTGCCTCGACCCCCAGGTCGGTCAGCCCCGTTGCATTCGCCGCCCCCGCCTCGCCCCAGTAGGCCGAAGCCGGCGACGGGGCCGTTTCTCCTGCCCGCGGGCCCTTCGAGGGCGCCCGACGGCCTGGCTCTCTCACTCTCTCTCACTCTCTTACTCTCTCTCTCTCTCTCTCTCTCTTTCTCTCTCTCCCCTCTCCTCGTTCGAGCTCGACTTGGCCCACCTCCTCGCCAGCCCCGCGCCGCGCCGAGGCAGGGCGTCTCCGATGGCCTCCAAGTCTGGGGCGGACTCGGCTGGCCGCTGGCCCCGACGGCGTCTACTGGCCGTGCCGATCCCAACGCCTGCCCGCCGCGCTGGCGACGCCCTCGTCACGGGGGCCATTGGCCTCGCGGCCACCAGCACCCGATTCCGACGTGGCTTTCGTCTGCCAGTTGCGATCTCGGGACGGTCAGTCGCGGGGCGTCAGGCTCTCAAGCCCGCGCGAAGCATGATCGAGCCAAAAACGACGACGGAAGGAGGCTGACTGTGACTGCTCGGCCTTCTGCCCGTGGCTGGACCCGTGGCTACCCACGCGATCCCGAAAATCATCTCTGGCTGTCGCTGTCCAAGATCCCAGCTGGAACCATCGCCCGCCGCCACCCCGTGGCCCAATCCGAGTGGAGACGCTGGGCTGGAGTTCCCCTCCAGGGCGATCCCAGACACACCTTCCCGCTTCGGGATCGGGGTCCAATGATCCAACCTCCGAAAGTTCAGGCGCCCACCGCCCGCCCCCCACCCCCCCTCGCGCTCTGCACATTCACATGGTGCGTGAGAAGACAGCAAGCTGACGGAAAGTATCCGTTTATAGAACTGGGCTCATCCGAATTCTTCAAACTGATCGGCACCCACAGCTCGGCGGTCTTTATATACCAGCCGGAATAACGCGTGCCAAACACACGAATCGGGTTGAGCAATTCAGAACGCCCGTCTCGGGGTCAAAACTGAAAACGCACTCATACATCATCAACGCTCAACGAATACCTGGCGTCGCTTTCCCAACCTTCGCGAGCGCAACTCGCCGCGGCAACATGACGAGGGCCCGAGCCTCGAGCTCCAAAATGGGTGGACTCCACTACCACTGCTCCAAAACGCGGGCCCACCTCGAACACCCCGTCGGCAACGGCCTCGCTCGAGGCCGTCGCAGTCGTCGCCCCCGAGCTCCAGCAACCCCTCGGGCGGCTCTCCACCTGAGAAGCCCGTCGAGCCGAGGACGTATCACCTCGCGCGATCGGCCCGCCAGCCCTTGGATCGATCGCGCTCTCGACGACGGCCAGTGGCGACTACCTCGTCGCAGCTCCACGGCGGGGTCGACACCCCGTTGCCGTCGAGAGACGCATCGCTGGCAAGACCAGCCCGTTCCATGGCAACAGTCCTCCGCCAGATTGGATACAATCCACAGATAGGCCGTGAGTTCGCCGACCACGCCTGCCCACAGAGGAGTCAGCTGGCCCCAGCTTTTCGTTTGAACTTGTACGTCGCGTGGATGCAGCTCGAGACTGGCCGCCGCGACGAACCACGCGCAGTGGCCGACTACGACCTCGATGATTCACCATTCGCCCGCCCCCCCCACGGACCAAAAGGTGTCGAAGCTCGAAGTGCTTCCGAGTGAGGACTGCGCGCTGCCTCTGGCCGCCAAACTCGGTGCCGAGCAACTCTGCCGTGCCGGACAACACCTCCTCGCTGAGCACCAGTAGGCCGAAGCTTCCGAAAATTGTGACCACCTGCTTGAGCGCGTCCGAGACGGCGGCGGCCGCCTCGCCCATCACGCCTGGGGTATCCACGTAGACGTAGTGCCGAACACGATACTGCCCATTTCGTAGGCACAGCACCACCAGCGCACCTCGGCCTCTTGGAAGCGGAAGCCCCTGGCGAGCGGGGACCTTCTGGAACAGGATCTCCCCGATGGCCTGACAGAAAACAAACTCCGGGTGAATCCTATGGGCAATGCCCTTGCCAGCGGCATCACCAGATCCCCCTTCTGGAGCCGGCGGCTGTCGATGATCTCGCCGACGACGTCGAACATGAGCAGCCTGTGGTAAGCACCATCGACGTCGGCGACCCCAGCGTGGACCAACAGGTCGCCGCCCTCGCGGCTCGCGGCTGTCCGCGCCAGCTTCCACCTCCAGGTTGCGCGGGGGGCTGTCGAAAGACATGCTGGAGCGCCAGCAGTTGAGTATCTTCCTGTTCCCCCACGTCCTGTCTTCTACCCGAAGAACGACGCGACCCTCACGCGCGCCCAAGTGCCAATTCGCACGAGGCGTCGGTCTCTCAACATCCTCTTAAAAATGGCGCCACGCCTGCGGATACGCACGAGAACTGGGCCACTGTAGACAGCGATGGGGGCGTCGCCTTCTCAGCCTCTCGTCTGTCTCGCATCATGCGCTCGTCCCTTCCCTCAGCAGGGCGCGTGCATGCCTCGCCGCCAACGTCCGCGAACAGTCTGGCACCGCGGACGGGATCCGGCAGCGAGAACGCCTCGTGTCGGCAAGCTGCAAGTCCGACTGGCGGGGTCGCACCCGCACACGCCATGCCCCGCCCCGCCGCCACTTTTCGGAAGCACTAACACTGCGGGCCTGGGAAGGTCGGCTCCACGCAAGAGTGGCCCTCGGCAAGAGTGACCTCTAGTGCGCCGAGTTCCGGGTAGCGAGGGAGGGCCAAAACAGAGCGCGCGAGCCGCTGCTATCGCAGAATGACTCCACGCTGGTGTACGGTGCGCAGTGTGATGCGAGCACGGCCCTCTGTGGGGCCTCTGAGGCACATGGCTTGAGCCAAGTGCGCCAGTGTGCCCGAACCCAAGTTCAGCCATCTGGGGGCCCCAGTGTGCTCGCACCAAAGGTCACTGCGGCAACAGGTCACTCTTGCGCGAGGCCGACGGGGAGACCACATTGCTGATCGTGCTGGCCCAATTGTAGTACAGTGGTCGGCCCCTCGAGGGGAGATCGTTGTAGACCTCTGGCTATCCTGCACGACAGCCCGCCAGTTGTCTCGCCCTGGCTGTCCACGTCCTCCCATAGTCCTCCATCGCTGGCGCCGCTGGCTCAATCGGCGGCATCGCGGTCCCGCCCGCTGGGCGGCGCGGCGACGGCATTGGCCAGCAGCACGACGCGCTGGGCTGCATAGCGCTCCACGGCGTCTGGCCTCTGCCAGCATGCACAGCATGCCCAATGGCCGCCGATCAGGAGAGCGTGGTCCCGCGGCACCTGCACGTCGCCACTTCGCAAGTCCACGATGACCCTGAGCCTGAGGTCACCGAACGGCTCGCACATCACCCAGACCTCATCGGGGCCCAGACCCTCGGGGCCAGGGGCCGCGACCGCCATCACGGCCGATGGGCCCGGGAAGCATCCGCTCGCCCTCCAGGCCCTCGTACTTGGCGGGCTTCAACCCCGCCTGAACCAGGGCTCGTACCTGGCCGTCTGCTCACAACCAAGAAGCAGCGTCTCCAAGCCTGCGTCGGGGACATCCCGACTGAAGCGATAAACCTTCTTGACCACGCACGGGGGAGGGCCCAGCGGCGGGAACCAAGGGCTCGCCGAGGGCGGGCCGCTCGCCTGGTCCCGCGCCCCGAGATCCTCGACCCAGCAGTCGCAGTCCAGGGAAAGCACATACCACTGGCTTCCCCCTCCACCACCTGCTGGTCATACCAGCACGCGCTCACGAAGCACGTCGTCGCCCACGTAGCCCACGATGGCCCGCTGCTCCAGGAGCGACTCGGCTAACCACCCCGCCACCCCTCCTCACCGGAGCGGCGGCCGATGTCGAGGTGAGGGAGGCTCAGCACGGTCCATCGCTCGGCAGCTCTGGACGTCAGCGCGGACGCCTCAGCAGCCAGTGAATGGCCCGCCAGCCGACGCCAAACACCGCCCGGCCGGCGAGCCCGTCGGCCACCGGCAGCCGAGCTGCGGCCCACGGCGCCGCGCCGACAGTCCCCCGCGTCGCAGCTCTGGCAGGCCGCGAGCGCCGCCTCGCACCTGAAGAGGGCGAGGCTCATCCAGTCGTCCGCGGCATCCTGCCGGGCCATCTCGGCCGGGCGGCGGCGGCTGGCGGGGGCTGCCCGCCTCTGTCGGCCAGCCCGCGGACCACCCGCAGGGCCTCCGACAGGCAGCGGCAAGGCCCTGACCGGGAGTGGCCGCAGTATACGACCAACGGTTCAAGCGTTGAGCGACTGCGTATGAGCCGTACAGTTCACGGATCGTGGGACCAGGGTTTACCGGGGTGCGGTCAGATTGGGGAGGAGCGATACCCACAGACCGGAAAGATCAGTCACGTGCCTCGCACAGCAAGTAGATCGACCCTCATTTCAGCATGGTAGGCCCGCAGGACAATCCCATGCGATCCCAGAGGGGGGGGGGGAAATGGTGGCGGAGGAGTCTCGGAGGGGTGGAAGGCAGGGAAAGGGGGTGGGGAAGCGGAGAGGCGGGGGGATGGCAAGGACTGCTCAGGTGCCACGAGCCGAGGAGAATGTCAAAGAGCAGCGCTGCCACATGCAACCCGCGCTGGCCGGGCGACTCCAGGATCTGTACCACTAGCATCCCGTCCTCTGTTGGGGATAAGTCCAGGCCAGCGCCGTCGTCCTGCGGGCTAGGGCACGACCTGTGCCCTTGGCAAAGTCAGCTGCGGCTGAAGCATGAGCAGCAGTCGCAATACCAGGCTTGCAAACGAAGTGCTCAAGCGGGGGGCATGCTTCAACAACACACAGTCAATACGATACCGATGCAAAACTAGGGTTGCAAAGAGTTCAATTATGATATCGCTGTGCTCCGAAACCGCTCATTTGCGATTCGGCTCACGCATGAGAAATGAGACGCGCTCAAGGGCCGACCAAGGTGTGCTCTAATCACTAAATATGGCACCGTGTCTTGCGAACGCCCTAAGGCTCACAGAATTGCGAGAGACAAAAGGCCTGCAAGCACCTCAAGAACCCAGACCCCCGGTTTGTCAGAATTGTCGCGCCCTTGTGGGGCCTTTCTCGTGGGACCTTCCAAGCTGTGGCACACGAGTCTGTCAGAGCCCAGGTTGGTTCGGAAGCTTTAACTGTTTCAAGCGTCTCTCGCCGTGGAGGGTGTGCCAGGCCACGTGCCAAGCACTTTTCCACACCAAGCCAGCCCCAAGAGCTCCTGGAGTCCTTCCAGAGGCTCCTGGAGGCACCTGGAGACTCCCCAGAGCCCCTCCACTGGAGACATCGTAGAGGAAGCTCCTAAGGCATAGTGGCGGAACTTGCCGCAGGCCAATGAGTAGAACTGCAAAGGAAACGCAGGTCATACTTTGTGAGTGCTTCTCCCGAGTCTTCGAGGACACATTCCGCTTCGGCTCTGACTCGACACAGAGTCGATGTGAACAGAGTCGCGGGCACGTTCTGTGACGCGATCCCGAACCATCCACCACCCCACCCCAGGGCATGTACAGTGATGTTACTGCGCCGCCTGGCCAGTTTTGTGCCGCTTCGCAAAAGGAACCCCACCTCCAGGCAGCATCCACTCTCCGCGCACCTCCCCACTCGCCGATGCTCCCCTGGTTCACCTCATTTCGCGCATCGCGCCCCGCGATGCACCACGTGCGCCTGCTCTCCCGCCTCCGAGCCGCCCAGTGGAGAAGGGCGCATCACTCCGACCCAGACCGCGACGCGACAAGCGTGATCATCTTCGCGCTCCCGCGGGCAATCTAGTTCCCCAGGCGTCCCAGAGCCTCCCTGGGAGTCTCCAATGTCAGCCAAGATGCCAACGGCGATTTCCAAGAGTGCCCAGGAGGGCCGCCAGAGCAGCCAAGATGGCCCGAGGCTGCCTCCAAAGAGGGCCCAGGCAGCCCTCAAAAAAAAATCTCAAGTGGCGCACAAATCGCCCGAAGATGACCACGATTAGCCCCAAGAGGTTTCTGAGAGGCCCTCCAGGAAGCCCATGGCCAAAAGCAATTGACACAAAAATGTCGTTCCATGTGTTCTGCCTGTTCGCGCGAATCCCACCCGAAGAAGCCGCAAGCGGCCCGAACAGGCTCCCAGGACTCCCCGTGTTGCACCAGCGGCTCCCCAGAGGGCCCAAGCGGCCCCAAGACTGCCAGATTACGGCCCAGGACTTGCCGAAGGCAGCCCTGAGACGTCCCACAAACCGCTCAAGGACAGCCCAAGGCGGCCCCAAGACGGCCCCAGGAACCTTCTGGACAGCCCTGAAATCCTGCATGACGGCCTGAAGATCTCCCTGGATGGCTCCCAGATCACCCGAAATGCCCGAAAGACCCATGGGCCCCCAAGAGGCGTCCGAGCAGATCGCCCGCCGTTTTGATCACGTGCGCTCTTCTCGGCCCCGGGACGGCCCGGGGCCGCCGCGAGGCGGCTGCGGGGTGGCCCAGTGCGGGCGTGAAGCGGCCCGGGGACCCCGGTGGGCCCCAGGATGCCCTCGGGGGACCGTATCAAGCCCCGGGGGGCGCCCGGGGGGCTCTCTGGTGGTGTTCTGGGGGGCAAGAAACAATCGGGCGGTGGGTTGTTGCGCTTGTGCGGTTGCCTCCTGGGCTTTTCGGCCCAAGACGCCTCCGGGTGGCCCTGGGGCGGCCTCTGGGCGGGCCCGGGATGGTTGTGCCTCCGGGGAGCGCCTAAGTGGTGGCGCGGTGGCGATGCGGGGCTGCGGGCGCGCCGCTCTGGGGCGTCATGCGTGGCGGTGTTCCCCGGGTGGCCCACTGGTGGGTGTGCCAGGCTGTTCGGGGGAAATCTGTGTTTTTAGAAAAAGAGAAGGGGAGAAAAGGAGAGGGGGCGTGGAAAAAAAAACATGCGTGCCTTTCGCCACGGCGCTGGCACGTGGCGGGGATCGTCGCAGGCAGCTGGGTATACTCGGGCCTCCGAAACACCGCAGTCCAGGCCCGAGGGTGAAGCCCATGCCCTGTCATGTAAGGAGCGTCCCGGGTCATGCCCTCTCACCACCCATCGTTTGCATCCCAGTGTTCGACGTCTCGCTCACTGTGCTTTCGACTACGCTCGATCGCAATTAACACTTCGATCTGCTGCCCGCGCTTGAGGACCCTCTGCGCCGCTGACTTAAAGGTCACGCCCTCTACCTCCCCGTGGTCCTCGTCCACGATGAGGGTCTCCTTCCTGGCCTGGCTCCCGCACAGGAGGCCAGCAGCAGCGCTCTCCTGCAGCTGTCTGTCGGCAGCCATCTGCCATCGCCAGGCAAAGCGGCTGGAGACAAGGAGTGGAGGGGGGAGGACTGCAGGAGTGTAAGGCTTGACGCGCTGAGGAGCGTGCAGAGGTGAAGGATTAGAACGGCTGAGAAGCGGAGGCATCGAGGGGGTCTGACATGACGGAGCGGGGCAAGGCCGCGAAGAGGGAAGGGGTAGGGCGCCTCCTCGGCCATAGTAAAATAGCTTGCATGTTTGCCCTGCATCACACCACGTCTCGGGCAACGGCTCTCAAATATCAACAAACAAGTGAGACCATGAGACCGTCGATTCTCGTGTCAAAGGAAAAGACCATCACATAAACCTTGACGATCGTACCACGCAACAACTGATGGTGGCAGCGCACCCAGCTAAAGCTAGCGCTCGCAAGCCCATCTAGCAAGTTCCAAGCACGACAGGAAGCCATGAGCCCAAGAGCACGGAGAAGTATCCCGACGTGCTACAGTGCACTTCTGCAGGGATGCCGCCGCACAGCCAACTCTCTGGCCACCAAGCCCGGGTGGGCACTTGGGCGGCGGCGGCGGCGGCAGCGGCGACGGTCACGGCGACGGCGACGGCGGGAGGCCCAACAGCGGGCCTCGAGTCGCCCCAGAACCTCGGCGCGCGCGGTGCAAGCAGGGGGGGGGGCCAGCGGGGCGACCGTCGTCGCCTCCGTCGTCGCCCTGGACAGGGTCGACGTGGAAAGCAGCGCTGGCGATGGACCTGCCTCGGAGATCGAGGTCGCCGCCCTTCTTGGGGAGGATCGGCAGCTCTCCGGCCCGGGCCGCGAGGCGCAAAGCGCGGTTTATCTTCTCGCCCCTGCAGCGGACCTGGCTGGACCGGCTCTTCCCGTCGCTAAGGCCGAGGCCCGCGAAACGACTGACTTCCGGGCTGGCCTGGCTGGACTGGCTTCCCGTCGCTGGGGCTGACCTGGCTGGACTGGCTTCCCGTCGCTGACCTGGCTGGACTGGCTTCCCGTTGCTGTGTCCTGCAGCTGACCTGGCTGGAGGCCCGCGAAAAAGACTGGACAGAACGACGGCTCGGCAGCGTCGTCACGACCGCCGTCACGAATGACTCCTGGACAGAATCGCCTCGATGATAAGATCAGCCTGGTCGGGAACGTGAAGAACTCCTTCCTACGAACGGGAGGAAAGGAAGGAAAGAAGGAGAGAGCGGGGAGATGATGGCAGGGTGGCAGGGGGGAAGGAGATAGAGAAAAGGATACATAGAAAAAGAGAGAGAGAGAGAGAGAAACAGAGGGACAGGGGAGGGGGAGAGAGAAAGCGAGAAGAGACAAAGAGAGAAACAAGAAAAGAGAGAGAGAGAGAGACAGAGAGACCATGGAATAACAACAAAAGCTGTAAAATGGAGAAGAGGATAGGAGCAGGAAAGAGTGGGGTGCTGATCAAGACAGTAGCCACGCTAATACAGCCACTCGTCGAACACAATGTCAACTTCCCCACGAAGCTAACGAAAGCCGACGAATCCTACAAGCACAATGTATACCCGAAACTCTGCTGCCAATTACAACACAGATCCCGTGCGGCCCTCTTTTACACCCACATGATGGCACGGGCAATGCGCCAATACTACAAAACACGCTCTCCAGACATCGAAGAAATGAGATGAGAGACTCGTGCCACGGCAGATGCAGAGGCGGGCGATGCAGAGAATGAGGACACGACGAGCAAAAGCTCAACGTCCATAGCAGAGTGGGAGACGCATCACAGCTGGTAGAGATGCTTTTGCTGGCTGCAATTGGCTCTCCTGCCTCATAATCCGATTGATCTGGAGACTAGTCGTAGTCCCCAACTTCTATACAGTGCTGGCTCAAGCCTTATACAGGTCACCAGGCCCACGGCCTGGCGGAGCGCCGCCCGCAAGGGAGTGGTCGGAACGGGCAGATGGCCACAGCCATACAGGGGGAGCTCCAGCAGAGACGGGGCACTGTTGCAAATTGCAAAGGTAACCGACGTGGGGGCAGGGAACCCTGACATCCCAAGCCCCGCCAGCAATTCCAACCCGGCTGCCCCCAATCCGCGAATACATAGGTAAGGGGAACCGGCGGGAAAGGGCGTATAAGATAGAACCACTTGAAAATAACGAATGGCACAGCACTGAAACCATTAGGGCGACAGCCAGACCACGCCAGGGGCGAGGGACAGACGGAAGAAGCAGCCTGCCAGCGGACCCGCAGAAATCTTGAGCTCTTGGCAGTACGAATACCTCATAGCCATCGCGGGCTCGAGGGCCACCGAACCTGAGAGTACGAGGAACAGCATGTCTCAACACGATTTACCATCATTAGTTATTAGACTCCGCGGGGATAATGCCTCTGGACCTCAAAACAAACTAACGAAGGGAGACGGAAGATAAGAGAGACGGGAGGGGGGCATCCCTTGAATGTTAATTTCTCCGCAGTGAAACGTGTTTTACTCAAAATAACTTTCTGCGCCGGCTCGCTGCCATGCCTGGTGGCCACAAGATCATCCGTGCGCGGACACAAGGCAGTGACGTTTGGGGGTATGAGCCAAACTGTCAGGCCATCCCTTCCTTCCATCTCTACTCCTCGGGCACGGGCACAAAGCGAAACATGTCGATATGTTGGTTGCCAGCGCTGTGCTTGTTCTGTTGTTCCCCCCATGCTTAGTGTGGTTTGTACCAACCATCCTGTGGTGCCGGGTCCTCGTTTTGAAGAGACGTCGCCCCGCGTTTCTCCTCCTCTCCTCTCCTCCTCCCCCTTCTCCCTCCTCCATCACCATCATCATCAGCATCATCACCCGTTTCAGCATACCCCTCACACGTTTCGTGGCCCCATAGGGAGCCCAACCGAAGGTCCAAGTGCTACCGTCCGCATGCGTCCCCCCCACCCAGTACAGCGCTTCGTGGCCCCATAGGGAGCCCCACCGAAGGTCCCAGTGCTACCGTCCGCATGCGTCCCCCCCACCCAGTACAGCGCTTCGTGGCCCCATAGGGAGCCCCACCGAAGGTCCCAGTGCTACCGTCCGCATGCGCCCCCCCCCACCCAGTACAGCGCTTCGTGGCCCCATAGGGACCCCACCGAAGGTCCCAGTGCTACCGTCCGCATGCGTCCCCCCCACCCAGTACAGCGCTTCGTGGCCCCATAGGGAGCCCCACCGAAGGTCCCAGTGCTACCGTCGGCATGCGCCCCCCCACCCAGTACAGCGCTTCGTGGCCCATAGGGAGCCCCCCGAAGGTCCCAGTGCTACCGTCCGCATGCGTCCCCCCACCCAGTACAGCGTTTTCGTGGCCCCATAGGGAGCCCCACCGAAGGTCCCAGTGCTACCGTCCGCATGCGTCCCCCCCACCCAGTACAGCGCCTTCGTGGCCCCATAGGAGCCCCACCGAAGGTCCCAGCTACCGTCCGCATGCGTCCCCCCCACCCAGTACAACGCTTCGTGGCCCCATAGGGAGCCCCACCGAAGGTCCCAGTGCTACCGTCCGCATGCGTCCCCACACCCAGTACAGCGTTTCGTGGCCCCATAGGGAGCCCCACCGAAGGTCCCAGTGCTACCGTCCGCATGCGTCCCCCCACCCAGTACATCGTTTCGTGGCCCCCTAGGGAGCCCCACCGAAGGTCCCAGTGCTACTGACCGCATCTTGCCCCCACCCAGTACAGCGCTTCGTGGCCCCATAGGGAGCCCCACCGAAGGTCCCAGTGCTACCGTCCGCATGCGTCCCGCACACGCTGTACAGCGTGTCATGGCCCCATAGGGAGCCCAACCGAAGGTCCCAGTGCTACCGTCCGCCTGCGCCCTCCACGCCCAGTACAGCGTTCCGTGGCGCCGCAGGGAGCCCCGCCGAAGGTCCCACTGCTACCGTTCGCATGCGTCCCCCACACCCAGTACAGCGTTTCGTGGCCCCATAGGGAGCCCCACCGAAAGTCCCAGTGCTACCGTCTGCATGCGTCCCCCCCCCCTGTACAGCGCTTCGTGGCCCCATAGAGGGCCCCACCGAAACCCCTGGGACTGTCCGCGTGCGTCCCGGAAATCTAATTTGCCATTTTCACACCACCCATTACGGCGTTTTCGTGACCCCGTAGATCCACCGAAGCCCCCAGTGGGACCGTCCGCATGCGTCTCGGAAACCCAGGCATTGTCACCCACCCAGTACAACGCTTCATGGCCCCGCAGGGAGCTCCGCCGAAGCCCCCAGTGGGACCGTCCGCATGCGCCCCGGAAACCAAATTTGGCACACCCCTCATACGTTTCGTGGCCCCATACGGAGCTCCACCGAAGCCACCACTGGGACCGCCCGCATGCGTCCCACACACCAGGTTTTGCATTTTCTCCCCACCCAGTGCGGCGTTTCGTGGCCCCATAGGGAGTTCGCCCGACGGCCCCAGTTCTACCGCCCGCATGCGTTCCCCCCACCCAGTGCAGCGCTTCGTGGCCCCATAGGGAGCTCCACCGAAGCCCCCAGTGGGACCGTCCGCATGCGTCCTGGAAACCAAATGCGGCACACCCCTCATACGCTTCGTGGCCCCAGAGGGAGCTCCACCGAAGCCACCAGTGGGACCGCCCGCATGCGTCCCACACACCAAATCTAGCAATTTCACCCCACCCAGTACGGCGTTTCGTGGCCCGATAGGGAGTTCGCCCGACGGCCCCAGTTCTACCGCCCGCATGTGTTCCCCCCCCACACAGTGCAGCGCTTCGTGGCCTCATAGGGAGCTCCACCGAAGAAAAGATTCACAATTGCGGTACCCACAACTGTACATGATTGGGTCCGTCGCCAGGATAATTCCCAACCATCCTGGGGTGTTGGGTCCTCGTTTTGAAGAGACGGTGCCCCGCGTCTCCTTCTCCTCCCGCTGCCCCCTCCCTCCTCCCTCGTCCCCCTCCTTGCCTCTGCTGTCGGCACACCCCTCACACGTTTCGTACCCCCATAGGGAGCTCCACCGAAGGTCCCAGTGGCACAGCCCACATGCGGCTCCCCCACCCAGGGCAGCGTTTCGTAGCCCCATAGGGAGCTCCACCGAAGCTCCCAGTGGCACAGCCCGCATGCAGTTCCCCCACCCAGGGCAGCGTTTCGTGGCCCCATAGGGAGCTCCACCGAAGGTCCCAGTGGCACAGCCCGCATGCGGTTCCCCCACCCAGGGCAGC